GAACTCTCTCAGTGAGAGGGGCTCAGTCTAGTGCTTGGTGACACTAAGACTGTGACCTAGACGGGACCAGAGGGCACAAGGGTAAGACTGGGGGTCATTAGACACTGAGGACATCTCCTAGAATTTTCCAAGGGACAGAGGCTTACACAAGAGTGTGGAGACACTGAGCATGTCTAGATACATGAGAAAGTGCAGGCATAAGACTGACGGTCTAATATGCCTAGCCCATGGACATTGGCAATAAGGTAGTGAAGACTTGGGGGTAGATGGGTAGGGGCTGGGAGGAGGAGGGAAACAGGGGGTGGGGAGAGATATGTGTAATACTATCAACAATAAAGAATATATTAAAAATAAATAAAAATAAATTCTGATCTCTCCAAGCAAGGAAACAGTTTGCAGCTTCTACAAAAACGAGGCGGGTGTGACCTGGGGAGGGATGTGTGCTGTTCGAGCTAAGACGTGATGGGCAGCAAGGGCTGGAGACGCTGCCGTGTACACACCGAGGAACACACGTGTGTGCGTGTTTGTAGGCGTTGGGGGGTCGCCCCTTGAGGGTAACTGGCAACGTCCGAGACCTTCTGGTGACCTGGCAGAGGGTGGTCCCCGGGCACAGGATGGGAGGAGACTTAATTCTCTCTCTTTTTTTAAAAAAAAAATTTTTTTTCTTGATTTCAGAGAGGAAGGGAGAGGGAGGGAGAGAGAAACATCAATGATGAGAATCATGGATCGGCTGCGTCCTGCACGCCCCCCCACTGGGGATCGAGCCTGCAACCCGGGCCTGTGCCCTGACCTCCTGGTTCATAGGTCGGCGCTCAACCACTGAGCCACACCAGCCCAGATGCAACTTAATGTTTACTGTGGGCTTATTGGTACCTTCTCCACTTGTGTGCCATGCCTATTGATTTAAGCCATTTCATAGAAACAGTATTTTTCAAAGAAAAATGAGAAAGGTCACACTACCCAACCCCACCTTCCCCCCCCAGAGCAAGAGAAGGGCTCAGCTCAGCTCTGTGCAGACAGTCCCTGGTGGCTCCCGGTGACACGGACAGGGATGGGGACACGGACAGGGACGGGGACAGGGACAGGGACAGGGACGCTGCCAGGAGGGTTTCTCTTTGCTGTGGCTTCGTAACACCCTGTCTCCGGCTTCCTCCCTCCGCAGCACAGAAATGAGATCTGAAAATCTCAAACACCCACGCCCGAGCTCCAGGCTGGGAGAGAACCCCGTGTTCCCACCAGCCCCTCCCGCT